CACACTCCCAGCCCCGTCCCTGAGTTTCTTTTGCTCAAGGCTAGCCTGCTACTACTTGAGCGACAGCTCGCTCTACTTCTAGCTTTTTTTGTGTAACTTGTTAAGAGAGAAGAGTGTCATGGATGTTTCTGCCCAAGCCTGGCTTTGAACCGTGATCCTCAGATCTCAGCTTCCTGAGTAGCTAGGATTTATAGGGTGAGCCACTGGTGCCCGGCTTCTCTTGTTACCATCCGCAGCTAGCAGTCTACCCAACACCCGGGGCCTTGTGTGTCTTTCCTCCCAGTCCTACTGCCTGGCTCCTTTTGATCTCATCAAAGTCCGTCTACAAAACCAGACAGAGCCCAGGGCGCAGCCAGGCGGCCCCCAGCCACGGTACCGGGGGCCTGTGCACTGTGCAGCCACCATCTTCCGGGAGGATGGGCCCCGCGGGCTGTTCCGGGGATCCTCGGCCCTGGTGCTAAGGGACACCCCCACCCTGGGCCTCTACTTCCTCACCTACGAAGGGCTGTGTCGCCAGTACACACCAGATGGCCAGAACCCCAGTAAGTGATGTGGTGAGGGGTGCGGGGAGGTGGACACAGGGCTGGGGTAAGGGTAGGGCAGGGTTAGGGAGAGAGGTGGGGCTGGGGAATATTCTGGTCCCCTTTGACCCAGCTCTACCCCAGGCTCAGCCACAGTGCTGGTGGCTGGGGGCTTCGCCGGCATCGCCTCTTGGATTACAGCCACGCCCTTTGACGTGATCAAGTCCCGGATGCAGATGGATGGGCTGAGGCAGGGAAAGTACAAAGGAATCCTGGACTGCGTGAGCAGCAGCTTCCGGCAGGAGGGGATAGGAGTCTTCTTCCGGGGCCTGACCATCAACAGTGCCCGGGCCTTTCCGGTCAACGCGGTCACCTTCCTCAGCTATGAGTATCTCCTGCATGCATGGGAGTGAGCCCGGCGGGGACCCCGCAGCTGGACCCCTGCTGACTAAGTAACTGGAGGCCGAGCTCCATCAACCTGTTTGCAGGTCAAAGACAGCAGCTCGGCCCTTCCTAGGCCAGGCGCCTCCCTCCCAAGGTCCAGCCAGGCAGGGAGTCATCTGCAGAGGAGCCGGCGCTCAAGGCCCAGCCCACACTCCAAGGTAGCGCTCAGCCTCCAGCAAGACTCGCACCTCAAGCGCTTTGGCTTCCCAGAAGCAAGAGCCCAAGCACCGCCCCTCTGATGGAGCTGCTGGACTCCACTGGCCACAGCCTCTGCGCCCTTCCCACTTCCGGTGACAGTGCATTTGGATCATCGCACCTGGCCTTTCAAACCTCTCCAGGGGAGTCCCCTTGTCTTCCTCCTGTCCAGAATCCAGAGTCTTCCAGGCTCTTCCATTACCTTCAGGAGCCTCCCCTACCCCCAAGGTCTTTCCCCGAAGGGTTTTTTTCCCTCTCCCTTCATGGCTTTGTGACCCTGAAACAAACAAGCTGTACCACAAGGCCCAGGCCCGGTGTCCTTGGCCCCTGGTTAATCAAAGCAAGGTCTCTACCATCCCTCTAGCTGCTCACATGATTCTTTGAGACTCAGGCAGAGCACTATCTCCAGACCACTAGGGCTGACTTTGGGGGGCCTAGGCTCTCTGGTCAACCTGCATACCTTGCCTCGGCTGCTTTGTGTGAGCCCCCTCCCCCCCCACTAGTACCAGGCCTTGAACTCAGAGCTAAGGCACTCTTCCTTAGTTTTTTTTTTTTTCCCTCAAGGCTGGTGTTATACCATTTGAGCCACATCTCCACTTCCAGCTTTTTGCTGGTTAATTGGAGATAAGAATCTCTCGGATTTTCTGCCTGGGCTGGGTTGCAACGGCAATCCTCAGACCTCAGCCTTCTGAGTAGCTAGGATGACAAGCAGGAACCCTGTGTGTGGCTTCTGCTGCTTCTGAGTTGCTGTGTTGACTCACTCTTGTTGCTTGCCTTTCTCTTTTGTTTGGGAGCACTTTGTGCTCAAGGTTGTATATCTGATTGTCTCAGCGCAAGCCCAATGCTGGACGGGACGTGCATCTACAATAAACACTTATTGAGGTTCTGAGTACATTGCTGGTCCTTCTCCCTGCCCCCTCCTCCCCCCCCCTTCCAGCCACTACAGCTGTCTGCTGAGCACCTAACCTCTGTTTGCCGCCTGAGCCATCTCCAGGTCCTCTCTGGTGGAGATAGAAGTTGGGAGTGCCTGCCTATCGCACTTTTCTTCTCCCCCCCCCCATCTCAGGTCCTAAGTAAGACTTGAGCCAGGCACGGTGGCTCACACCTGTAATCCTAGCTACTCAGGAGGCTGAGATGTGAGGGTCATGGTTCCAGGCCAGCCTGGGCAGGAAATCTGTGAGACTCTTATCTCCAATAAACCACCAGAAAACTGGAAGTGGTGCTGTGCCTTAAGTGGTAGAGCACTCACCTTGAGCTGAAGAGCTGAGGGACAGTGCCCAGGCCGAGAGTTCAAGCCCCATGTCCTGACTTACCCTGAGCTCACCTCAGGGGGCTCCTCCTAGACCCGACCCCAGAGCAGTCTGTCAGTTTACAGGAAGGTGACTTTGGCTCAGACGCATTATGTAACTTATCCTAGATCACATAGGTGCGAAGTCATACCACTTGCCTGGCTGCCTGATGTTCCAGCTCCAGAGCCTGAGCCCTGCGCCCCCTAGCGCTGCAGCCCTGCACAGGGCTGACAGTCACAGGTGCCCCACCCCAGCCTCTGGCTCAGGCCAGATGTCCCGAGCGCCTCTCTCTCCCTTCCTCTTGCATGAGAGCCCCTAACTTGTGTTCATCCTCCTTCTCAAGGTTTCATGGAATCTTACCTCTCCTTTCCAATTTTAATACCACAAACCAGGGTCCTATCCTGAATCTGGAAATATAATTTCATTTTAATAGGAATATAATTTAATATAAATGAATACTTATAAATAATAGAAATATAAGTTAATTTGTTTGAGCTTTTGTGCTGAACACTAGCACACTACCACTTTGAGCCACAGCTCCACTTCCTGTTTTCTGGTGGTTAATTGGAGATAAGAGTCTCACAGACGTTCCTGTCCTATCTGGCTTTGAACCATGATCCTCAGAGTTCAGCCTCCTGTCACTAGGATGACAGGTATGAACCATCAGCCCTTGGCAGTTTTTTTTTAGTGCTGAGGATTGAACCCAATGCCTGGCACATGTTAGGCAACCACTCTACCACTGGGCTACCTCCTTGAATCTCAAGTCTGACCAGGTCACCCTAGTGAATGACTTTCCATTACTCTGAGGGATCAAAGCAAGCTCCTTCCCTTACCCTGTATTTTACTTGCTCTTAGTTCCTTCAAGATATCTGAGCTGGATCAGGGCCAGGCCCTGAGTTCAAGCACCAACATGGACAAAAACAAACACAAAGTATCTGATACTCTCCTACTACAGGACATTTGCATATGCTCTTCTTGTTGCTTTTATGCCTCCCATTTACTTTTCAAGTCTCAGTTCTATATTGCTTCCTTAGCGAGAACTTCCTTAGTACCTGTCTAGGTCAGGTTCCTGAGGTTCAGAATCACCAGGAAGGTGTACTAAAATACAGATTGCGGAGTCCCATCCATAAGGTTCTGATTCAGCAGGTGTGCATTTCACTAAGTTCCCAGGAGGCGCTGATGCTACAGGTGCAGACACTGCACAGCCACCGGCATATGCTTTCCCGTTATCTCCTCCTCAGTCCATAATCACACACTCTCCTCCTCTCTGTGACTCCGATCAAATCTGTCTGTCCTTTAAATAAGGAACTCCATCAAGCTTGTACTTTTTTTCCCCCTCATGTCAAAATTCTAGCTGGCATATTAGGGTGCTTAAGAAATAGTTGTTGGCGAGGCATGGTGGCACATACCTGTAATCCCAGCAGTAGGGGTTTGCGGCAGGAAGATGGGGTTTCAAGCCAGCCTGGGCTACAAAGAATAAAAGGCCATTCTTTCCCTGAAGATGACCTACGTCTAGCATTGCAAATGTATTCCTTTCCTAATGAGCTTCCCTATCCCTTTTACTATGTTCAAGTCTGGTCTGAATTCTTCTCCTGCTGGACACAAGGACTGAGGTCAATTAGCCTATATATATAATTTTATTTTTTGCTGGCTCAGGGCATGGGCTTCTTTTGCTTGAGGACAGTGCTCTACCACTTGAGCCACAGCTTTACTTCTGGCTTTTATAGTTTAGTGGAGATAAAGAGTCTCAGAGACTTTCCTGCCCGGGCTGGCTCTGAACTGTGATCCTCAGAATTCAGCCTCCTGAGTAGCTAGGATTATGGGCATGAGCCACTGGCCCCTCCCAGCATTACTTCTGACAAAGATGACCCCTGGGGGCCTCCACCCTTCAGTGTTCAGGCCATTGATCCTCCTCTGAAGGAGGGTCTCTACTGGTCATTACCAAAGGCACACAAATCGATCTTTTAAATCTGAATGGAAAGATTTCCTCTACTGTCATGAAAATCACATCTTGGTCTCTTTGCTGTTTAAACCTTTATTTCCAGGGCTGGGAATGTGGCTTAGTGGTAGAGTGCTTGCTTAGCATGCATGAGGCTCTGAGTTCTGATTACTCAGTACCACAGAAATAAAATAAAACAGTACAAAACTTTATTTCCAGAAGCAGAACTGCTTTTGACATGAAGTTTAAACAATGGAAACAATGTCTAGAAAAACAAAGTTCCACCTTCCCAAATGAACTCCCTCTGTTTTATTTTTTAATTCCGGGACCGGAACTTGAACTTAGGGTCTGATGCTTTCACTCACAGACTGATGCTCTACCACTTGAGCCATGCTTCCAGCCCTCTCTCCTAAAGTTCTAGCCTGAGGCTCCATCTTCAGAGCTTCTTCTCAAGCTTGGAAAGTTTTGACTCCAAGCTTAGACTTGGTGTGCCAACTTCCCTCCCTTCTACACCTTTCCTAGGTGGTATTTCCACAGGAAAGAGCTGGTCCCCGTCGGGAGAGGCGTTTCCATGGGAAACAGGGGCGGGGCCCTGGCCGCTGCCACGGGTCCTCACAGGCAGCACAGCCGCTCCACCTCGGCCTCACACTCATAGAACTTCTCGAAGAGCTCTGGGGAGGTGCTATTGACCTCCAGCCACCTCCTCAAGGTGCCCAGGGCCTGTAGGGCATCGGCTTTAGTAGGCAGAGGCTCTAAGCCATCTTCCCTATACCCTTCCTTAGCGTCAGCGCCCGTCTCCTCCTTGCACACTCCGGGGCCTGGCTCCTCGTCCTCCAAGTCCACGAAGTGGGAAAACTCCTCCTGGCTCAGTCCACCAGCAACTGGCGGCATCTCAGAAGCTTTGTCCAGGGCCAGGGGTGTTTTGCCTGGAGCTAACCCTTCCTGAATGAAGCTGCTCCAAATGAGCTGAGAAGGCACCTTGGTCCAGGCTGCCGCGGCCATGTGCAACGCATCCAACCCCGTGATGCCTTCCCCGGCTTCCGGCAGCGAGGTACCTTCTCTCCTGCTCTGCACAGCGGCCAATTTGCCCAGCAAACGGTGCCGGTAATGAGCTTTAAAGGCCCAGACCACAGAGCCAGGCAAGGAAGGTGTCGTGCTGGAGGCAGACAGAGGTAAGAGTCTCACGTGGTGGAGCCCGGGTAGGCCTGCCAACTCCTCTACCACTTGGGCAGCCAACAGCAAGGCTACCTGTCGACCCTGCTGCCCCATGTCCTGGTCAAACTGTGCCAACCACTCTGCCCAGGGGATGCTTGGGTCCGGGTGGTAGGAAGCAAGCAGTGCCTCACTGCTCACCCCAAAGAAGCACATAGGCGCAGCCTGGAGCCCACCGACCAACACTCGCCGCTTCTCTGTGCCCCTGCTGTTGGCACACAGGAGTACTTTCATCCGATCACACGCAAATGCTCTGCCAGGCACTGCCCGATAAAGCAAGGGCACTTCAGCACAGCCAAAAACATCCTCTGGAGAGAAGTCTTTAAGGGAGAGAGGTGGCTGGGCCTGGGACGTGAGGCCTAAGGGAGGTGGTTCAGGAGGGAATGGAGGAGTAAGGACATGGCGAGCCCCGAAGCCTACATTGTTTCGGCGTTTCCAGCGGACCAGCCAGCCAATGCTGGGCACAAAATCCTGGCCCATGATATCAGCCAACTCCTTGGCTTTGTGGAGTAACATGGGGCCCGTCACATCCCAGGCCTTGGCGCGGGCAATGTGGTACCAGCAGAGCAGAGCTTCATCGATCCCGCTATACTTGGACTCCCGCTTGCGCTTGCGCTCTCGGTTGGCAGTGCCGCTACACCAGTCTGCCAACAGCTTCTCCTTATTCTTGCAGATGCGGGAGATTTGGGGCTGGGAGACTTGGAAGCGCCGGGCTACCTCCGACTGGGACATTTTGGATTCATCCAGGAGTTCCAACACCTGAATCTTTTCCGCTAGGGACAAGGCATGGAGTTTCTTCTTGCTACTCAGCTCCATGGCTCCTGCAGGGCACCTGTGGGGACAGGAGAGGAGAGGATCTCGCGGGCGCTGAAGCCAGGAGGGATGGGAGAAAGTGGAGCCCGTGAGGACAGGGAAGTGATTGGACTGTGGGCAGCCGCCGGATACTGGACCAGCTGAAAGAGCAAGGGAAATGGCCAGGGCTGGAACGAGCCTCAGGAGTGCTAGCGCAGAAGCAAGGGGTGTCTGATCTGAGGAGGAGTGGAGTGCGGGCTGGGGTTCAGCAGGATGAATGAGTGCAGGGGACAGCTGAAGGAACAAAGGAATATGGCTAGAGAGGGTCTGGGCCTGGGTCGGGGGGCGGGGCGGTGCAGGTACAGGGGACAATCAGGACAAGATGGGGATGATGGTCTGGACTGTATTTCGATGAAAATGTTGGGGTGGACCAAATGAACAGAGTTGAGGTGAACAGGTGTACAGACGACAAAGCCGTGAGGATGGAGTCTGTTGGTGCCGGGGTGGCTCAGGCTGGGCCAGGGTGCAGCCTGGGGGAAGTGGGAGGGCAGGGCGAGAGTGCAGGTGCACAGGCGACAAAGGACGACCAGGGTGGAGGCTGCGGGCAGCGAAGGGGTGGAGTGTCCCCAGTGGGAAGGGTGAGGGTCTGGAAGGGGTACCCGGACCCAGGGCCGAGCGCCCCGGGCCCAGGCAGGCCAGGACACGGGCGGTGCGCCCTGGCCCGCCTCGCCCCACCGGGACCCAAAGCCCGTGGGCGGGGCCCAGGCGCCGACCCGCCCGCCCAGCCTCCCGCTCCGCACCCACCTCAGGCGCTCGTCCCGTGGCTCCCGCCCCTGCCCCCAGCCCGGCTCCTGAATCCCTGTTCGGGAGGCGATGGCAGAGCAGGGAGGGACGGGCGCCACGACCCCCAGGGCGGAGCGGATCAAGGAACCGCGCGGGCAGCGGGCCGCGGGAGCGCGCACAGCAAGGCCCGGTGCGGGCCGCCCGCGCCAGAATCGCTCCGGGCTGGGGAGGACTGCGGTGCGGGCCCTCGACCGGCTGTAGCCCCGCCCCAGATAAACCAGATTGGCTCTCAGAGGCGTCTCGTCCCGCCCCCGGCTACGTCTCATTGGATCCCGTGAAAGTGGCGGTTCCTCAGGCGTGCTGGAGGCGGAGCCTCTGGCGTGGGGGGAGAAGAGGCGGAGCCAGGACCAGCGGGAGCCCCTAGGCGCGGCTGGACTCGGGGACCGGGACCTGGCGCTGGCCAGCCCGAGACGTGGCATGAGGGCAGCGGAGGTGGCTCAGCGCCGCAAGGCCTTCCTGACTGTCATCCTTCATCTACCAAACAGGACTAAAGGCCGTCACGGAATTGTTCTGAAAAGATAAAATGGATGCAAGTTTCAAGCCATACAAAAGCTAGTTATACCATGGACAGCGCTGGTGGCCTCCAGTCTGTCACCCAGGCTACTTTTGACAAGGCGCCAAATCTTTGACAAGATTCAAGCTGCAAAACTTGGTGCCGATGGCCCACGTATGTAATTCTAGCCACCCCTGAGGCTGAGATTTGAGATCTGAGTTGCAAGCCAGTCCAAGCTTGAAAGTCTGTGAAACTCTTAATGTCAATTAACCACCAAGGCCAAGAGCTGTGGCTCAAGTGTGCTACAAGGCCAGCCTTGAGCAAGAACAAACAGAAAACACAAAAACAAAAACACAAAAACTTAGGCCCCAAGTTCAGGCCCCAATACCCACACACACATATGAATCATACAAAAAGATCATTTCTATACTCAAGAATATAATTTCCTTTCTTACGAATATTTGGTCCTGCACTAAATGTAGGCATGTTAATCTGCAGCTCCACATTCTCCCTGCCCCTTACACAGCTGGGTGCTCACCTGTACTGCTCACGTTTTTCATTCTATGAAGCTTCCTAAATTTCCTCTTATGCCTTGTCATTTTCTTTGCTACTTTTTTTTTTTTAATTGGGCTTGAACCTAGGGCTTGGGCCAGCTCCACTTGCAGTTTTGTTTTTTTTTGGTCGGTCGTGGGGCCTGAACTCTGGGTCTGGGCACCATCCCTGAGCTCTTCAGCTCAAGGTTAGCGCTCTACCACTGGAGACACAGTGCCACTTCTGGCTTTTTCTGCTTATGTGGTGCTGAGGACTCGAACCCAGGGCCTCATGCATGCAAGGCAAGCATTCTAACCACTGAACCACCTTCCCAGCCCCTCCACTTGCAGTTTTTGAGTGGCTAATTGGAGATAAGAGTCTCATGAAAACTTTTCTGACCAGGCTGGCTTCAAGGCATGATGTTCCAGGTCTCAGCCTCCTGAATAGCTATGATGATAGGCATTGACTCACCGGTACCCCCTTGACTGGAAGCTTTTTCTAAGTTTTATGTTTTGTTTTTTTCTCTGTCATGGGGCTTGAACGCTAGGCCTGAGTACTGGCCTTCAGCTCTTCAGCTCAAGGTGAGTGCTCTATCACTTGAGCCACAGTGCTACTTCCGGTTTTCTGGTGTTTTATTTATTTTTTTTTTTGGGTCCGGTCATGGGGCCTGAACTCTGGGCCTGGGTGCTGTCCCTCACCTCTTCAGCTCAAGGCTAGTGCTCTACCACTCACTTGAGCCACAGCGCCACTTCTGGCTTTTTTCTTTTTTCTTATGTGGTGCTAAGGAATCAAACCCAGGGTCTCATGCATGCAAGGCAAGCACTTTACCACTAAGCCACCTTCCCAGCCCCATCTGGTGGGTTTTTATTGAAGTTTCACGGTCTTTCCTGCCAGGGCTGGCTTTGAACCACAATTCTCAGATCTCAGCCTCCTGAGCAGTTAGGATTACAGGTGTGAGCCACTGGCGCCTGGCGTTCTATTTTTTAATTTTTTTTGTCGGTCGTGGGGCTTGAACTCTGGGCCTGGGCGCTGTCCCTCAGCTTTTCAGCTTAAGGCAAGCGCTCTACCACTTGAGCTACAGCACCAGTTCCGGTTTTCTGGTGGTTTATTGGAGATAGGAGTCTCATGGTCTCTTCTGCCTGGGCTGGCTTTGAACCGCAATCCTCAGATCTCAGCCTCCTGAGTAGCTAGGATTACAGGAATGAGCCACCAGCGCCCGGCTTTTTTTTAATAGAAGTTTCAAAATGCATTTGGAAAGGCTTTAGAGCTGCACGCTGAAGTCTTGGCTGCACGTCTTGCTCTGGCTCAGGAGCACACAGGCAATTAGCCATGCATCAGATGAGCAAGGTTGAGGCCCTTCCCCGGAAGATGTCCTCATTATCTCTGCAAAAGCTTTCTCTATCTCAAGGTGACATCATTGGTTTGCTGAGATTATCTTTTATTTAGTAATCAAATTTCTGGACCTATTTTGTCTCTGGATTGCAATGTCAATTGTAAAACCTGTCACAACTCCCATCTACATGTCCCAGTTTAGCAGAATTTTCCCCAAACAGAAATATACAGCATATGGGCTGGGAATGTGGCTTAGTGGTAGAGGTTTGCCTACCATGTATGATGCCCTGGGTTCCAGTCATTAGTACCACATACATAAGAGCTGGAAGTGGTACTGTGGCTCAAGTGGTAGAGTGCTAGCCTTGAGCAAAAGCTCAGGGACAGTACCCAGGCCTGAGTTCAAGCCCCAGGACTGGCAAAAAGAGAAGAAAAGATAAGAGGGTGATAAAAGTTGATTTTAACCCAAATTTTATATTGATAAAAACAGCTTCACTGTTGTTTATAATAAGAAATTGTTATCAACTTGAGTTTACATAAGTTAAATGAAATAAGCAATTTTATATCTGCTTTGGTAGTTGGGGCCAACAAAAATTTTGAATGAGGGAGAAAAGAACCAACCAACCAAACTTGAAACTAAACCCACTGTCCGAAGGAAGAACATTTTAGATGAAACAGCCTTTTGTGTGTGTGTGTGCTGCTTCTAGGGTTTAAACTCAAGGCCTGATGCTGTTAGTGAACCTCTTTGGGCTCAAGTATAGCAATCTACCACTTGAGCCACAGTGCCACTTCCAGCTTTTCTGTTTATGATGTACTGAGGAATTGAACCTAGGGCTTCATGCATGCTAGGCAAGCACTCTACCACTAAGCTATACCCCAGCCCTCTGAGTAATTTCTTTTTTCTTTTGCCAATCGTGGGGTCTGAACTCTGGGTCTGGGCGCTGTCCCTCAGCTCTTCAGCTCCAGGCTAGCTCTCTATCACTTGAGCCACAGCACCACTTCCAGCTTTTTCTGTTTATGTGGTGCTGAGGAATGGAACCCCGGGCCTCATGCATGCAAGACAAGCACTCTACCACTGAGCCACCTTCCCAGCCCTCTAAGTAATTTCTTAGAGATAAGAGTTTCATGGACTTTCCTGCCCAGGCTGGCTACAAATGGCAATCTCAGCCTTCTGAGTAGGTAGGATTACAGTGGTGAACCACAGACACCCAGCTGAAACAGCCCTCTTAACCAGTTGAGTTGGGAGATAAAACCATTCAGCAGAGGGCTGTGTGTAAAAATGTTTATTTTTTTAAACTAATGTTTAGAATATAGGAACTAAAGGGGGAGGGGGAAGACACCTCAACTCTAAAGTGACGGTGAGTTAGGGCCTGCCCGCAATGAAGGAGGAAGGCCAGTCCAGAGTGTCCTGGCATGGCTGTCCCTCCTACTTAATGTCAGTGCCACTAAGCAGAAAACCAAGGAATCAGGGTGTGAAGACCTTATCAGCTGCTAGTGAGCGTGCAAGGGAAGGGAACATCTATGCGGCACCCCTGTGACCTGGGAACTATCATACACAGGCAGGAGGCGGAGGCTCCCAATCTAGTTAAGGGCAAGAGGCTGAATGCCCAGGTCCAGGAAGGAAAAAAAAAAAAGAAAAAAAAGAAAAGAAAAAAAAAGAGGGGATTTTGGAGGTAGGCTTTTTATCGAGTTAAAAAACAGGCACATTATCCAACATCTCCTTGTGGCCCCCAAGCTGCTGGCCTGGCACCCTGGCACATCCCCTTTCCCCACAAAACCAAAGAGAACAAGGAGGGAGGCAGAAGATGGGGAAAAGGTAGGGAAGGCTTGGGTCACCAGAGACCACCCGTGAGTGAGCCAGCCAAGCACAGGAAAGACAGGGGTAGCTGCTAGTTCCCTGTGTGGGGTGCAGTGGGACAGGGTAGAGCCAGCCGAGTGACCAAGAACATCCTGGCTTAGGCAAGGGGCCCCGTTAGCAGGACAGAGGATCATAGGAGCGGGGGGGGGGGGCGCTGAAGAGGCAAGGTACAGCAGCACGAGGGGCATGGAAAGCTCCTGTGAGGGCAGCCTCAGCTTGTTCACTCCCAGCTGCTCCCAGCAGAGGACTGGTCAGGCTAGCATCGTGGGGAAGGAACCCTGGAGACCAGAGCAGGGAGTCAGCCAGGGCCAAAAGAATGGAGCTACTCTCTATTTGAAACATCGTTTGAACCCTGTGATCACCAGGGCCTGGGCCCAAGGCAAGCAGAGTGAATGCACTTCATGGAGAACACAGAGAAGCGGGGCCCATAAATCTGCCCTGGGGTGGCATACTGCTCCTTTCTCCCTGAGGGCCTGGGGCCAGAGGTGGTCAGCGCTGCCACCTCCACTTGCTGTTGCCAAAGGCAGGTTGGCATGACCACCCGAGGTTCTGGACTTGTGAAAGAGGGGGGAAGGGAAGGGGGTTATGAAAACCAAGGTGGAGGAGAAAAACATCTTCAGATATGTGGGGGAGCTGGGTGGCACATCAGGAGGAGTTCTGGTTCTGGTAGATGGAAGCTTTCTCCTTCAACAGGTCCAGACACAGGTGGCAGCTCCAGCTTCCTGCAGAGAAACAGAAGGGTCAGGTCAGGGTCAGCGCCCACAATCCTGCTGTCCTTCCATTCCCCACCCCTCTTCCCTAAGCAGGACAGGAGAAATTCTGCAGTAGCAGTGAAAGGAACCCATCAATCTTCAAATACTGTGAAAATCATTCCCCATGAAGGTGAAGGCAACACTCAGAACCCAGATGTCGAGGCCCCCTCGGCCTTGTTACAGGAGCTGGGAAGTAGAAGGGCCTGGGCAGACGCCAGCTTTTAAAGTGGCCCAAGCTTTAGACTTGTGATTACAACACAATAGGCTTGGTTCTTCTGGCCACAAAGTTAGAAAAGAATCCTTTTTTTTTTTTTTTTTTGTTGGTCATGGGGATGGAACTCAGACTGGGCGGTCCCTGAGCTCTTTAAGCTTAAGGCTAGGGCTCTACCACTTGAGCCACAGCACCCTTCGGGTTTTCTGTTGGTTTATTGGAAATCAAGTTTCATGGGGGCTGGGAAGGTGGCTCAGTGGAGTGCTGGCCTTGCAAGCCTGGGTTCAATTCCTCAATTCCACATAAGCAGACAAAGCCAGATGCAGCGCTGTGGCTCAAGTGGTAGAGTGCTAGCCTTGAGCCTTGAGCTGAGGGACAGCGCTCAAGCCCAGAGTTCAGGCCCCCTGACTGGCAAAAAAAAAAGTTTCATGGACTTTCCTGCCAGAGCTAGTTTTGACTGTGATCCTCAGATCTCAGCCTCCTGAGTAGCTGGGATTACAGGTGTGAGCTACCAGCACCAGGCAGAAACCAATTCTTATTTCAATTTAAGCCAGAGCTTTCTGCAAGCTGAGACGGCCTGCCAACATCTGTGTCTGAGCAGAGACTAAAGACACAAAGGGATGATCCAATCTACTATGACCCAAGTCTAACTTCAAAGTGGAACAGGAAATAACTTCTCTGCAAGAAAAATAACTGGCTTATACCTTGCTATTATCTCTTACTATGATTGGATTCCTACCTCCCCCAAATTAGTTCTCAATGTTTTGATGTAAACAATTATGCATACATATGTATATATGTATTTTTTTTCTCATTTTTTGTGGGTTCTGAGGCTTGAACTCTGGGCCTGGACTCTGTCCCTGGGCTTCTTTTGCTCTAGACCTCTACCACTTGAGCCACAGCCCCACTGTTAGCTATTTCAGAGTAGTTTATTGGAGATAATGCGTCTCATGGACTTTCCTGCACCAGTTGGCTTTGAACCATGATCCTCAGATCTCAGCCTCTTGAGTAGCTAGAGTTACAAGCTTGAGTCATGGGTACCTGGATACGTATGTCGTTTTGAACGTATTTCTGGAAAGAACCTCATAGGTCTTCAAAGACATATGACTTAAAAATCCAAGAGGAGGGGCTGGGAAGGTGGCTCAGTGGTAGAGTGCTTGCCTTGCATGCATGAGGCTCTGGGTTCGATTCCTCAGCACCACATAAGCAGAAAAAGCTGGAAGTGGCACTTTGGCTCAAGTGGTAGGGTGCTAGCCTTGAGCTGAAGAGCTGAGGGACAGTGCTCAGTGCTCAGGTCCAGAGTTCAGGCCCCATGACCGCCAAAAAAAAAAAATCTAAGAGGATGGTCCTTTCTAAGGTCAATGAGTAGAGACTGTCAAGCTTTTCTATAAAGTATTACCTATTTTAAGTGAGCCACAAGGGACAGTTTTACTTAAGATCTTTTTAAAACTCTCGGTTAAAAAAAAAAAGACTCTTATCTTTTAAGTTATATTAACTGGCTGTGGCTGGATTGTTACCAACCACGACCCGAAACCTGAGGGTATGCTGACTTTTAGGGGCAGGACCCAGCTCCTGATGCTCCAGCTGGAGCACTACCTACACCTGTGGCCTTCTGCAACCTCAGTGTCCCATGAATATCCGTGGGAAAGCCCGTCTGCAGTGAGAATTGATTCTACCTACACTAAGCTGGTATTTGATGGAAGTAAAAAAATCCAGGTGCCTCAGTGGCTCCTGTGATCCTAACTATTCAGAAGCTGAGATCTGAGGATCATGTTTGGAAGGCAGCCTGGGCAAAAAAGTTCATGAGATGTGTTCTACCACTTGAGCCACAGTGCCACTTCTGGCTTTGTTTTTTCTGCTTATGTGGTGCTGAAGAATTGAACCTAGGGCCTCATGCATATAAGGCAAGCATTCTAACATTGAGCCACCTTCCCAGCCCCATGAGACTTATTTCCACTAAACTACCAAAAAAGCCAGAAATGGAGCTGTGCCTTGAGCAAAAAAGGTAAAAGACAGTGCCCAGGCCCGAAGTTCAGGACCTAGTAATGGCACCAAAAACAACCAAAAACCCAAACCAAAACACTATTTTTTTCAAAGCTCTTGAGCTGAAGAGCGCAGGGACAGCGCCCAGGCCCAGAGTTCAAGCCCCATGACCGACAAAAAAAAAATGCTGGAAGTGGAGTTGCTTAAGTGGTAGAGCACCAGCCTTGAGTAAGACAAACTCAGGGACAGCACCCAAGCCGACTGTGTATGCACGCGCACACACACACACAGCTGATTTACAGATTCAACATGGCAGCAGAAGTGTGACCCTCCGCAGGTGTTAAAGGACTCTTGGGACTTTTCTTAGTGGCCACATGGCCTCATTCTCTACAGAACGCCAGCAGTCTGACCTACATTAAAAGTCAACTACCAACACATGGTGAACTTCTCTTGCCTGGAATACTGGCTCAGCAAGTGGGTAGTTGTTCCCTCCTAGATAAGCTCCAAGTTCCCATATGAGAAGGCCTAAGCTCAGAAATCCAGCCAGAGGCGACTGGGGAGATGCAGCCAGTCCTTGGTGCCACCCCTGGTTTGAGTGAAAAATCATTATTAAAGTAAACTACTGGGCTGGGAAGGTGGCTCAGTGGTAGAGCGCTTGCCTTGCATGCATGAGGCCCTGGGTTCGATTCCTCAGCACCACATAAGCAGAAAAAAAAAAAGCTGGTAGTGGTGCTATGGTTCAAGTGGTAAAGTGCTAGCCTTGAGCTGAAGAGCTGAGGGACAGCACCCAGTCCCAGAGTTTAGGCCCCATGACCAGACCCCAAAAAACAAAAACAAAATAAACTACTGCAGGGGGGCTGGGAAGTTGGTTCAGTGGTAGAGTGTTGCCTCACATACATGAGATCCTGGGTTCAATTCCTCAGCACCACATAAGCAGAAAAAAGCTGGAAGTGGCACTGAGGCTTAAGTGATAAAGTGCTAGCCTTGAGCTGAAGGACAGCGTCCAGGCCTAGAGTTTAGGTCCCAAGACTGACCTAAATAAATAAATAAATAAACTACTGCAGATGCAGAAATATCTGTCCAGAAACAACTCTCTTCCATACTGGAAAGGGGAAGGCAGAAGAAACAAATACTCAAATCTATCAAGTTAGGAAAGCTGAAAGAGCAATGTTGTATCAGGCAAAGTGACAATTCAATTTTCTTTTCTTTTTTGTTGGTTGTGAGGCTTGAACTCTGGGCCTGGGCGCTATCCCTCAGCTCTTCAGCTCAAGGCAAGTGCTCTACTGCTTGAGCCACAGCACCACTTCTGGTTTTCTAGTGGTTTATTGGAGATAAGAGTCTCACGGACTTTCCTGCCTGGGTTGGCTTTGAACCGTGATCTTCAGATCTCAGCCTCCTGAGTAGCTAGGATTACAGGCATGAGCCACTGGCACCCAGCGACAATTCAATTTTCATACTAACTGGAGGGAAATAGCTCTCTCCTTCTGAGTGACTTTCTTCTGCTCAACATCTGTTCACTCCTGGAGTATTAATTTGTTACTGAAGACAATATGCAAACATTAAGCCCTTCAGGTTGAAATATTAGAAAAGTATCCCGAACTGAGGCAAGGCAGAGTAAAATGGCAACTCAGAATTTACTAGGTAGGTGATTTTACTGACAAATTGTTCTGAGTAACTGATTATAATCCTGAGTAATGGATGAATTGATTATTCTCAGCCACATACCTTCAGGAGGCTCAGACATGGATGGGGTAAGACAGTACATGTGGTAGCCACGGTCGCAGTCATCACAGAAGAGCAGCTGGTCCTAGAGAAGCACAAAGGAAGAAGAAGAGGGGGCCAATGATTTAGGAGCCTCGGGCTACCTACAGGGGGAAGGCTTCCAAGAATACTGCTGCCAAAAAGAACAGCTAACAGGGAAGATGATACTAGACTCTACTCAGACCAAGTCACTATCATCCCCTATTTGAGTCCTATCAGAGCTCCTAAATAATTACATGGCCTCCTCTTTGCCAACAATCTCTTCTCTATAAATCAGCCAAAGTTGCCTTTAAAAAACTTGATAGGCCAGGATCACACCTGTAATTCCAGCTAGTCAGAAGGCTGAGATGAGGATCACAGCTTGAAGCCAGCTGAGACTCTTATCTCCAATGAATCACCCAAAAATGCAGAAGTAGAGCTGCAGCTCAAGTGATAGATCAGTCCCTCATTATAAGCCTCCAGCAGCATCCCACTATATTTAGAACTTGAGGCCCAGGCATTGGGGGTGTAAGCTCAGTGGCAGAGCACACACTTAGCCTTTCCAAGTCTCTGGGGTCAACGCTGAGGCCCCACAGAATTGCTGGTGCCTACCTCTCTGATCCATCTCCCCCAGCTCTATTCCTACACAGAGGGCAGGCTTCAGTCTGCCACACTGGCCTTCTTAGTACATGTGGCTCATCCACCTTAAGGAGTCTGCACCAGCCAGCCTAAAAGCCGTGCACGGCACAGCTGCTCCTTTTTCTTTTTTTGGTCCGGTGGTGGGGTCTGAACTCTGGGCCTGGGCGCTGTCCCTCAGCTCTTCAGCTCAAGGCTAGCGCTCTACCATTTGAGCCACCGCGTCACTTCCGGCTTTTTTTCTTTTTGCTTATGTGGTGCTGGGGAATCGAACCCAGGGCCTCAGACATGCAAGGCAAGTGCTCTACCACTGAGCCACCTTCCCAGCCCCCTGCTCCTTTCTTTCTTGCTCTCCCTCCAGAACTTTTGGGATGTCTCAGTATTTTGCAAATTTCAGCATCAACCTTCCCTCTGCTAAAAAAGTCCATCTGACTATGCCTCTAAGACAGTATCCACTCATTTGTACATCACTGGTCTTATTTGCTCCAAGGCACACAGTAAGTTCTCCCTTCCTTGCTCACTGCTGTTATCCACAGAATGCAGGGACTCTGTCTCATTTGGTCTCATTAGAACCTAAAACTGAGTGTGACCTAAAGTTGGTGCTCAAGAAACTGGAGTTCCCAGGGGGATGGTGTTGAGGGGGGCGAGGGAGGAGCTTGGGCGTGTTGTAGGGGAGCCAGCTGGGGCGATGGTGGGGAGGGGGGATGAGGGAGGAGCTTGGGGTGTTGTGGGGGAGCCAGCTGGGGCGATGGTGGGGAGGGGGGATGAGGGAGGAGCTTGGGCGGGGTGTGGGGGAGCCAGCTGGGGCAAGCAGGACACCCACGTCATTCTCCGAGGTGCCGCAGAGGTTGCAGCACTTGCACTCGATGCACTGCCAACGGTAGGTTTTGACAGCCGCCATCATCACAGGGGTGAACTGGAGGCAGGAAGGATGCCCTGTTGGAAGCAAGAGAAACGAGGCTGTAAGCTGAAGCAGAGGTGTTGTGCGTGTCTAAGATGAGCTGTCTAGGATGGTGCTGAAGTCAGTGAGCCACAAGTCCCTCGGGACCTGACGCTGGGGCAGTCCTCTCTGGGGGTAGGTACTCTGGGGGTACCTGAGCGGCCACAGTCAGAACAGGACACCAGCTCTTCAGGCTGTCCTGTCTTCTTGTTGATCTTTGAGTCCCCCAGGCAGAAGTCGCAGTAGTTATTGGGCAAGGCCAATCCATCAGGACCCTTCTTGGCTATAGGAAGAAAGAGAGCTTTGATGATGCTCCTGAGGGTGGGCCGTGCCTGGGTCATTAACATTCCTGCAAGGAAGGGCTTTTACTGCGAGACCAGCTCCTTGCCTGCTTGCCCACTCCCAACACCTCAGCTTACATTTCTGCTCCTCAGACCTCTGGGAAACGGGGGTGGGTGGCTGGGAGTCTTCCTTGTCCTCGCCCTCTTCCTCAGCCAGGTGGGAGTGGGCATAGTGGTAACTGAGGCCAGGTCGGTTCTTATAGCGTTTTCCACAAACTGGTTGGAGAAGATTGCAGAGAGAGGTGTCAAGCTATAGGAAGCTACGTCCCCACCCCTCCAAGCTGTGAGGCCCCACCCGAAGCCCCCCATTCCTCCAGCAGCCTTGTTCTGGGGAGAATCCTAGTGATGATCCCTTCCCTTCTCTTTAGCCAGGAGCACCCCACAGCACTATGCTTTTCTGAACTGAGAGTCTAGTGGGGCTCAGCCTTCGTTGCATTACCACTTGCCCTGGAAATGGTAAGAGTCTGAGGAACTCCAGTCAGGAAAAGTCTATGGTTTTCACTATGGCAGGAAGGGGAAAAGTAAAAAAGAGACCTCAAAGTCAGTGAATGCGGGAGGCTCATGTGGCCCTGCACACAACACAAAGCCTGGCCCTGCTGAGTGGACAAAGGGCTCAGGCTGGCTTTCTTGGTGACCACCTACCAAATGAGCAGAGAGCAGTTGGCTCCCAAAGGAGCCACAACTGTGCCTGCCCAGCAAGAAAAGCTGACTCCAGCAAGGCAGTCTGTAATCTTTTTTTTTTTTTTTTGGCCAGTCCTTGGCCTTGAACTCAGGGCCTGGGCACTGCCCCTAAGCTTCTTTTGCTCAAGGCTAGCACTCTTACCACTTGAGCCACAGCGCCACTTCCAGCGTTTTCTGTTTATGTGGTACTAAGGAATTGAACTCAGAGCTTCATGCATGCTAGGCAAGCACTCTACCACTAAGCCACATTCCCAGCCCCAGTCTGTAATCTTGAGTGGTGACAATTAAGGGCAAGGGGCCAAAAGGAAGGAATGAGGAGGCTGGGAGGAGGTGGAAGGATGGTGGGGACATTAGCTGACCACCAAGTGCCTGTGCATGGGACGGGAGCAATGGATCTATTGTTCATAGTGGGTTCCTCATAATGCTTTTGGAGCTACCCCATGCATGAGGCTGAGTGGCCTAGGAGTAAGCGTGAGGGAGAGAAGCAGTGAAGGCGGCTGCTGGGACTCTGGGGCGTGGAACACAACCACTGTTCAGCAAGTTCTGCCCCCATGCCATTCCAGAGACTTCAAGACTAGCATCACAGGAGATGAGGAAGGCGGAGGAACAAGGGAAGAGGGAAAAGGGATAGGAAAACCAAAAGTCTGAAAAGTTGAGAGAGCTACCTCTCTGGGGCGCTTTCGAGGTATGCTTTTGTTTGAAACTATCTGAAAGACAGAAAGAAAAGTCATGAGAAGGAGGCCTTGACACACTGGAGACAAGGGCAGCGGCAACAGGAAAGCGGAGCAAGCGAGCGACAGAGAACCCCAGCAGCGACGGAGCTCCGGGGTGGAGGCACGGAAGGAGGGTGAGCCAAAGCAAAGGGAAAGAGAACAGACACTGAAAACCTCAGGGCTGACCCCCTGTGCCCCAGCTCATTGGGCCAGCAGACCTGGACACTGCCCACGGAGAGGCCAACCCTGCCTGCTAAGAAACCTCCCACTCCCCCACCCCAGGGGTCAGAGGAATCTCTCCCAGAGCATGCAGGTCCCACCGGTCATGGAGCAGAAGCCTGGGCCACCCAGGGTTCTTGGAGGGAACTAGTCAGCAGGCAGATCAAGATCACAGGCTCGTTTCAGCACTCAGGGCAAGAACACAACCCTCCCTCCTCTCACATCCAGAGCAGGAGCTGGGTCCAAGGCAAAGACTACCCACCCACTAGCGAGGCACTCACTGTCACAGGCATACGGCTTGTCCCGGTCCTCCAGGATGGAAGCATCCAGCTTCTTCCGGGCACTGCCCACACCCTTACCCTGCCGAGAAGAGTACAAAGATGCCTTCACTAAAGTGCAGAACCCCAGGAGTGACACTCTCCTGAGCAGCAGCTAATCTCATTTAACAGGAAGAAAGGGAACCAGAGGAAATCATGGACCACCCTGCCATGCACTGCCAGCAACATACTGGCCCTTCACCTTGGACTTCCCCTTGCCCCGGCGCTTGGGAGTATCCTCTTCATAGTCCTCATCGTCAAGGTCATCCAGGAAGTCATCGGGCTCAAGAATCCGCTGAGTGGACAGACAGATCAGAATGAATAGAAATCATGTCACCTAAAAGCTTCATATGACAGAATTGGCCAAGGCCACCCAGAACCTCCTCTCCTCTGGGACCTGGTCCCACCCTCATTCCTCACCCTACAATCAAAGTCCTGTTCCCTTCAATGCTTCTGTTCCTCTGTGCCTCTTTGTGCTGTTCCCTTGGCTTAGAATACCTCCCCCGCCCCTGATCTCTTAAGTGGTCTAGTCAAATGCTCTGTTCCACCCTGTTGGACTGGCCTCTCTGAAAAATTATAGTCAGTAGTCCCTTTCTAACATGTCCTAGTTAAATGACAGACTTGGTGCTTATTGTGTGACCTTATGGGAAATTTTTTTTTTTTTCCGGTCATGGGGCTTGAACTCTTGGCCTGGGTGCTGTTCCTCAGCTCTTCAGCTCAAGGCTAGTAGTACTTTACCACTTGAGCCACAGCCCCATTTCTAGTTTTCTGGTAGCTAACTGGAGATAAGAGTCTCACGGACTTTCCTTGCCCAGGCTGGCTTTGAACCTTGATCCTCAGATCTCAGCCTCCTGAGTAGCTAGGATTACAGGAGTGAGCCACGGACGTCTGGCCCTTCTGGGAAGTTTTAAAATGGCTCTACTCCAGTCTTCCTGTGAAATGGGGACCATGAAGCCTACCCCATAAGACCCTGTATAAGCTAACAGAGGTAATGCATGGAAAAGAACTTAGCATGGTGCCTGGAATATCTTTTTTTTAATTTTTTGATCAGTCGTGGGGTTTGAACTCAGGGCCTGGGCACTGTCCTTGAGTTTTTTCCACTCAAAGCTTGAGTCACAGTACCATTTGTGGTTTTCTGGTGGTTAACTGAGATTAGAGTCTCATAAACTTTCCTGCCTGGGCTGGCTTTGAACCATGACACTCAGCTCTCAGCCTCCTGAGTAACTAGGATTACAGGTGTAAGCCACCAGCACCTGGCTGATTTTCTTAGTTTTAAACGTAGTGTTGGTTTCCCAGTTGGCAGAGATGAGGCTGTTTTACCTGTGGATCTCCAGGTACTAAAAAACTTTTTTTTTTCTTTTGTCAGTTGTGGGGCCTGAACTCTGGGCTTGGGCACTGTCCCTCAGCTCTTTAGCTCAAGGCTAGCGCTCTACCACTAGAGCCACAGCGCCACTTCTGGCTTTTTCTGCCTATGTGGTGCTGAGGAATCAAACCCAGGGTCTCATGCATACAAGACAAGCACTCTACCACTGAGCCACCTCCCCAGCCCACTAAAAAACTTTATAACAAAAACTTTTGTGATAAAGAGGATGAATGAATGAGAGCCTATCCTTAGAAGGAAAGCAGCAGGACAGGGTAGGTGACAGGAGAGAAGTTTATCAGCTATAGAGGAAACCTCAGCTTCTGCTTCTGTTCTTCTTTTTGGTGGTCCTAAGGATTGGATTCAAGGCCTCAGTCATGCCAGACATTCCATCACTGATCTACTTCAGACTTGCTAAGGGGCGGCCCCTCCTGAAGAGCCTGGTGTCCTGCAAAGCTCCTTCAGCCACGGGGATAGTCTTATACCTTCCGTGCTCGACTATTGGTCACAGGAAACTCTCCCAGGCTGTCATCATCAACTCGGGGATCCGGGGCACCTCGCTTCTCCAGGGGGTCGGTGCGCAACAGAGCCTCTAAACTGCTGCCATCCTGAGAGATGAGCCCCTCCTTCTTCAGGGTCTGGTCTGTGTCTGCAAGAGTCAGGATAAAACAAGGCTCAGAGGGGCTAAAGCTTTGAGTGGACATAGTGCAAGAGTCAACCAGTCAGCGAGGAGCTGATGGTTCACATTTGTAATCTCAGCTACTCAGGAGGCTGAGATCCAGAGGATCACAGTTTGAAGTGAGTCTGGGCGGAAAATTCTTGAGATTCCATCTTCAAAATATCCAGCAAACGGGTTGGGAATGTGGCTTAGTGGCAGAGTGCTTGCCTAGCATGTATGAGGTCCTGGGTTCCATTCCTCAGTACCACATAAAACAAAAAATTAAAAAAAAAAAAGACAGCAAAAAGCAGGGCTGGTATCATGGCCCCATTTTACAATGCCAACAGAGTGAGCTAGCAAGCTGAGTGAGAACAAGCCCTGAATTCAAACTCCAATACCACTAAAAACAAATTTTTTAAAGGCAGTCAACCAGTGTGCTACTGTTTTCTGTTGTTGAGCTCTCCAGGGATCAAGACACCCTAGTTCACTCAACACGGGAACACAGCTCTTTACCTGTTAACTCTGATAAGCTGAATTCTCTAAGGTAACAAAGAAATTATATATATATTTTGTTTGTTTTTTGTTTTTTCCTGTGCTCGTGTTGGGGCTTGAATTTAGGGCCTGGGTACTGTCCCTAAGCCTGTGCTCAAGCCTAGTGCTCTACCACTTGAACCAGAGCTCTGCTTCCAGCTTTCTGGTGGCTAATTGGAGATGAGGATCTCAGACTTTTCTGCCTGGCCTGGCTTTGAACCACGATCCTCAGATCTCAGCCTCCTAGGTTGTTAGGATTATAGGAATGAGCCACTGGCAACCAACCCTGATTCATTTTTGACTTTTGTTTTTACAGGAACTAGCACAGGGCCTGGCACTAGTGGATGGGAAACAGATCGGTTGCCATGCAGTGGGCTACGCCCCTGCTCAAGCAGGGTGCCCCCTACCTGGTTTAATAGATGGGAAGGAAAGCCGGGGATCTTCAGGTGGGTGGGCTCGTCGCTTTTTTCGCCAGCGCCGGGCAGGGTAGGAATATAGCTGTCCAGAGGCCAATCCTGTGGAAGTCCGAATGAGCAGTTAAACCCTAACCCAATACTAGAAAATGATATTACACACTTTTGAGCTAAGTAGCTCCCCTGAGTTCTAGAGCAAGAAAAGAATGCTGACAGTGTGAGCCTGAGGATTGGGTAAGATTCTGCATGGAGGGGGAGGGAATGAGTATAAGCTTAGGCTATTAACACAGCCCTTCAGAAGCCTAATCATGGCCTCCACTGAGGGGGGGAAGAAAAAAAAAAGCCGAGGTGAAGGTATGAACCCGTCAGCTTCATCCTCCCCATGAGGGGTGGGGGGTGGGAAACGATGACAACCATATTCATCCACAGGTAGGAGCAGGGGGGGGGGAATTCTCCTCGTGTCCCTGAGACTGTGACCTCACCTGGACCACGGTGTCGCTTTTCCATCCAGATGTAACAGTTGCTCTGGGCTACTCCAGTCTGAGAGTCCAGGAAAGGCAAGCGCACGCTGCGCTCGGCACACAGGCGGGCGTTGTAACTGTGGCACTGCTCCATGGCATCTTTGTAGTACTGCTCCCCAAGGCTGCAGGGAGGTAGAAAGCAAGGATGCAAGGTGCCAAAACATCCTGCTCCCCTGTCAACTGCTTCTCCAAAGGGCCCAGGGGACGGGGAAATCAGATCTAAGGGTTACATTTGCCTCTACTTCTGCCTCATGGGACACAAAGCCCCTCCACTAAGCCAGCATGAGGAAAGGCACTTCACAACTAAATTACCGTGAAGAACACATAATTTCATCAGACAAGCTGATGGGAGACAGCGTAACAGTGTAGCATTTGCTTGTGTCAGGTCCTGAGCTCCAGTTGAAATGAATGCTCATTCCTTGTTTCTCATCCATCTAGCTCTGTACTAGTTAAGATGTTACTTTTCTTAGCCTCTCTTATAAACAGGGAAAAAGAGTTCATCAAAGTCTAGGGAGCTTATTAAAAGGTTTTTTAGCAAACTATAAAAGCTTATCGAAGGAAATGTTATTTAGGTGGTTAGAGGTATGTCTCCAATTGTAGAGTGCCAACCAGTGAATGAGAGCACAAGTTTAAACTCTGGTTGGGGGGGGGGGGGGGAAAA